CATCGAATTTTTTACTTGTATTTTATTCTTGGACCGCCTATATGCTGAGAGGCTTTTCGTTGTTATACGTATTTGGTAAGCAACAAATTCGTAATCATTATATTTCGTGAGCAACAAATTCAGAAAATATCTCTGCACCAAATTTAAGCGAAATAACAACAAATTTTTTATTGTGATATTTTATTTTTGGACCGCCTGCACTCTAAGAGATTTTTCATTATTATTTTCATTTATTTCGTAGGTAACGGATTTAAAATTTAGATATTTCTACACGAATTAGCAACAAGTTCCTACGTTATTTTTAAGTAGAAGGTCGTTATATGTATTATTCCGCTAACTTAATTTTCCTTCAGCGGACCATCATTTTTTAAAAAACTTACAAAGCGACAAACTTTTCTTCAATAACTTTTTAGTTACAAATGAGCAACAAATAAAGATTAATTTGACTTGATTCTGCTCACTTTGTTCCACTAACTTATAAAGATGGAATCTAAACACGGTCAATAATACTGAATCAATAATATAATATATTGATAAAATGCATCAGTATTTTCAGTATTTTTACAACCTTATACGATCAGTATTGTTAATAATATATTTTATCTTAGTACATTATCTATTGTACTCTGACATATTGTGACATGGATCCTATAATAAAGCGATACTCGATAATCAAAATCCAAATTGTCGTCAATATCCTACATCAATCCATCAATATTAACCGCACACGATCAGTATAATATTGTCAGTATTTGTTAAAACTGACACGTATTGACCGTGTAAAGTCACCTTAAAATGCTCAGTTATTAGTACTGCTCGAGTTATATCAATGTATAGGGTGACATTAAATTACCGCACCACATATCCTGAGCAGGTAGAGCGGATTAAATTGAGTCGAAAAGTCCTGCACCATTTTGCAATATTCGCAATAATAATTAACAAGATATTAATTACTAAAAATCGCTAAATATTAGTCTTCATAATTTTTTACTCAAATACTATCAACTTTACAGAAAAACAGTAAGAGATAAAAATTATTTATTTTCTTCTAAAGTTCTGAGAATTTTTTCAGAATTTTTCCAGAATTTTTTAGTATCGTATTTTCTCATATTGGTAAAAATAAGAAAATGCACTACTAAAAAATAGATAACAAATTCTAAAAAAATTCTTAGAGTTCTATGAGAAGAAAATTAATGATTTTTGTTTGTTGCAATTTTTCTGTAAAGTTGATAGTATTTAAGTAAAAAAGTTAGTGAAGACCAATATTTAACGATTTTTAATTGCAAAAATTGCAAAATAGTAGAGGACTTTTCGACTCAGTTTCGTTCGCTCTACCTGCTCAGAATGGGTGGTGCGGTAATTTAATGCCACCCTGTATGTAATTCGAAAACAAAATTTCAACAATTATCAATTTTAATAGACTTTAAATAGACTCAAGTAGAAGAGCATGGAACTTGAAAAAAGTGTCGTGTCAATAATTCATCACATTTCCAGCAACATTTCTCGTTAATTCTAGCATAATTCAAAAGTTAAAAATGATGCAACATATTCAGATTAAAGTACGAACGCGTTCCAGTCACTATCATATGAAAAAATTTCGACGATATCATGACGATATCGAATAATTCTTTGCGACAAATCTCGGTAAAAAAATGCATCACAATAAAGGGGATAAGATTTCGACGGAATATTTTTCTGTAAAATTCGAAACTCCTTGCTTCGATCTGAGACACGACGGATAATGGAATACGTATGTCTATCGGGTATACGAATGGGGACAATGCGCATAAATCTATTCTCAAGTTGATAGATATGCAACGCGCTCGTGGGAGCGCGCACCAACTGAAAACGGATCGCTGACCCGTTCTATTGTTGAGACATTTCCTATTATAGTCATATATACGCTGAAAAGGAGTTTGCAACACTTTTATGTCTCCACTGGTCTACAGTTCTACAGGATAAAAATATATATGATTTCTCTATAAAATTAGGTATTGATATAAGTTCGATATAAGTCACAAGCTTTAGAAAAGCATATTGAATCTTTGCAGCAAAGTGAATCTTTGGATAATAGTAGTATCTTTGAATAAAAGTATGATAAAGAAAGAAATTACGTATTAATATTATATATATAATATATATATATATATATATACACGTATATGTATAATAGCAATTTTGAAAATAAAACGTTTTTAAATGAGTAGGTACACTGAAAGAAAAGATTGTCTGCTGCAACAAATTAGGTGATAAAGTATGGCATAGCATTTTTAGTTGGCTGTAACAGCTAATTTTTGGTTGCAGCAGTTAATTTTTGATTGCGTTAGCCTATCCGCAATGTCAGTATAGGATTTCGATAGACTAACGCAACCAAAAATTGGCTGTTACAATTAATTAAAAATGATGAAAATATGCCATAATCAATCTTTTCTTTCATTGTAGAAAAATTCTTTATAAAAAATTTTTTTATTATAAATCTATATAATTTTTTTCTCTTTTTCTTCCCCTTTTCGCTTTCTCTTTTTATAATTTCTTTTAATAATTTGAGATCTTACTTCAATCTAAATACTGTAATTATTTAATATATTGCGGATATTGACTGTGATTATTTCACTTTCGTCTAACTATACGTACGTATCAAACACGCATTATTGAATCATCGTGCAATTAATAATTACGGATGATTAATGTAAGTTATTGCAACGTATCGTCGCCATCCGGCGGCTAATTGACGCACTCGCAATTATTAATGATAATATTACAATCAATCATTATCACTAATTTTCGCGGAATGTACAACATGGAAATTATAGTTTTTACATCAAATTGGCTACACACAATAATTCAGCTCCTCATCACAGTTATCCTTGTTATCATGATATTTGCATGTAATAAATACATTAACGAAGTAATTTTAGCTATATTAAATGTAAATTAAAATCTGATATGATACATTATAATTATCTGTGCTACCAAATTGAACTAAACATATATTTTCGCAATTCTCGCTTATTCTCTGAAAATAACAATAAATTGTAGAAACGCTAAATTTTTCCCTTGTAATTTAATGCATACACGATTTTTCATGAAGATAGAGAAAGAATGGTAGTTTCTGTCTTAGTTTGAACTCATATCTATTAAAAAATGGGGGGGAAAGACGCGATTTATAGACCGATATTTTCATACGCTGGTAACGAGCAGGAAGTAGCCGAGGCAATGGAACTTGCGGGTTAAGTGGATGAGAAAAGTTTCCCTAATATTACCGGGAGGCAAGAGAGAGATTGATCTGCAGGAGAGCTCGTCGAAGGGATTAGTCGTAGCCCGACTAGTCCCGTGCGATTTTCATCAGGTGATGGTACTTTAACTATAGATTAAAGGATTCGTCTGGTAACCTGAAATGAGATCCGCCTTCCCTATGAGACCGAAAATCCAAATCAGCCAGCAGATACGATGAAAAGGGGGATACATCATTGGCGACGAATTTACGGGTATTTGAAAAAGACTCCAGTCTGATAGAGTCCCCATGAACCTTTAACAAATTTACTCGGCTGCATTTGCGCAAAATACTACATGGTACACTGAATCGGGTCGAATTGCGTTGGTTATCCTTTCAAGGAACGGATTTACGCGAGATTTTAAGCAATCTATGCATCGTATAACATGCCAATTTTGAATTTTTAAATTCATTCCAAAGGGAAATTATCAGAGTTGGTTGGAAAAGTCCAGTGAGTGGAAAAAAAAAAACCATAATAAATTCCAGTTTTTATTCCACGATTATTCCAATGGAATAAATTAGCAAAAAACTATTAAAAAACGAATATGTAATACTAAGACATATCCACATAACTTTATGCAAAAAGAGATATTTTTGCTTTAATTAGTAAATCAACAATTTATGAGTTTAAAGAAAAATAAAATTAAGAATTTTAACCACAACCGCGTAGATGTGAATACATCAAATAGAGAACGCTAAGATCGGTCAAATTTTGGATGGAAAATTAGTAGTAACGAATCAATAGCAATAAAATCTTATAATAATACAATATTTTTTTATTATTTTATTTCAAATTAATATTTAAAATACATTTGAAAACAAAAAAAATTGGAAATATAAATATTATTTACTAAATGTTATATTAATTTTTAACGAGAAAAATAGTAACAGAATTACAAATGTTTATTAATATAGATTGGAGTTGCCTGTAAATTAGAACATCGATAAAAAGATTTATTATTTATTTTATCGTTTTTAAAAAAACAGATCAATTTTTTATCGGTTTTTAATTCAGCACATGCGAAATTTTACCAACTTTGGCAATTATCCATTCCTAAATAAATTCTCATTTTGATTGCCGTTCTCGTTCGATGTTCAATTAAAAGACAAGAGGCACGAGCTCGTCCGTAATTCTCAAATAACTTACAGTTCGACACGTTGATTATTATAAATCGGACGTTAACACACCGGGTTTAATTTGCAAGGGGTTGTGAGACCGTTAGACGTTCCATCGATAACCGAGCTGATGACTCTCGCGAGAGAGTGCGAATGCCAGGAAGCGCCATTCGACATTATCGAGGCCCGCGATATCCATCAGCCTAATGGTCTCGCAGCTAAGGTGAGCGTGTAAAGCTCATTAAAAGCTCGTTAGAAAGCCGCCACCGGCATACCGGGAAAGTCGGGAAATCGGTCAGAAAAGTGGAGATCGAACGCGAGAGGAATAAAAACGATTGAGATAAACTTGCGATTTACTGAATTTATCGCGAAATGCGCGATGTATACAGCAGCTGTATTTTTTTTTTTGTGTAACGGCAGCGTTCGTGTCGCTTCCTAATCTATACATATACAAGATCATTAGAGAGCTTTATGTACGTCCAAATTCTTATTTATTTTGCCGTACAACGCTATTTAAATTTCATTAAAAATAATAGATCCAGGTATTTTGAAATTCACTAACGTTTACAAGTACTAAAATATAAACGCGGGACAATATCAAAATATTTACCTGAGTCATGGTGTCGCCGTTAACTTTCAATTTAGACTGGAAATTGCTCTGCTCCAAGAGGATCATTGCGTTGTTAATGTAAACGTCCACGCCGTATCTGCCTGGTCTCCTGGTGATCCAAAGGGGTGGGTTGCCCTCCAACTCGGAAGATATCGAATCCCTCAGCTCCTCGATTGTCAAAGGCCGGTTCGCTAAAATCAACAAAGACGATATCTTGTTAGTATTTTGTAGCTTCATAGAAATACCTTGGATGTTTAAAATGTTTCTTTTTTTTATTGTTCTGAAGATGAATGCGCTTCGAAAGAGCTACTTGAAGTTCAGGCTACCACAAGGATCGCGATTTAGTTCTTCAAGACTACAAAGTTTTTAGCTCCTGAAGATTTTTATTCTCGGTGAAAAGAGACAAAGAAAGAGAAAGAGAGAGAGAGAGAGAGAGAGAGAGAGAGAAAGTGAAAGAGAGAGAAGGACATGCGAAGAAAAACGCTGAAAATAACGTAAATGGCGAATGGAATAGAAGAGCTGGAGATAGAGCAACTTCAAAAAGTCCACGGCGAAGCTACAATGCTCGTCGCTTTATTATCCCGTTATACCGGAGAACGTCCTCGTAATCTTGAGGTTTTTTTTCTCTCATACGAACGGATAATAGAGAACGGAGGAAAGAGACACATCCCTGCTATTGTTATTTGATGTGAAAGTCAGCTGTGATAGAAGCTTAATCGAATTTTTAACGAAAGTAAAATATTTTTCTTACATTTTTTTCAAATTCTCTCTCAAATTTTTTTGTAATGCATTTTGTTAATCTTTTAGTTTACAAGAATCTCGAAAGCAATTTCCTTTCAATATGTTTTATAATAAATATTACGTATCTCTCGTAAAAACTATAGATAGAGAAAAGCTCATAAAAAGATGAGATGTATGTACGTGTTTTTGAACTTCAGACAAAAAAAATCTTAAGAAAAAGATCAATAAAATCTAGAGTACTGAACATCTCTAGGTAGAGAATTTTATTGCATGTGTCATTTTATTAACGTAATGTGGCAATCAGATAAGCCATCCTCTGTTTTAAATTTCAACATTTTTCAGAATAAAATCGAAATTGCATTTTGGTGTACGTACAAACGGAAATTATTCTACCCTATCATGCTCTTATCTTAGCATGAGAATGTGCACGCCTCCCTTGAGTGCGACCTATTGAATATCGTGGTAACGGGTATTGTAGTTTCTAAGAGCAGTCCTGCTCACAAGCGAGTATATGTACCGTTCTTCGCAAGCTGGGAAAGTCCAATCTCCTCGAGGAAGAAAGCGACTGGGCGGTAGTACTGCCAACAATGACGCTCATTACGAACGCTAGGAACTGAGTCCCCGTTTCGTAAACCACCGGCCGTTTTATCCCGCGAAAGTTTCCAGAACAAGAAAGCTGACGCCGTAAAATCTCGTTCTCCCGACAGCGCAGTGACGATTCGAGTGGCATTTTCCTTTCGGAAAATAATTCCCCTCGTCCGCGAGTTTTCCCATGGAATTGCACGACAAAGCGACGTTTTATTCACGACTCGGAAATGTATTTCGTGCTAATCATATCAGACAACATGCAATGTCTAGAAGATGTCTTTATAATATCTTTTAGATATCTTTTAGGTTCTGCCAATGTCAATGTTAATTTTAAACCTAGATAACTTACTTATCTTTTTCTGTGATTCTTGAAAATAGAAATAGAATTCAATGCTTGGAAATAAACGTGTATATCTCAAAAGATGTCGGATGCGGTCCACTCAGCGTTACGAATGATAAAACGGATTTGATTGACCAATTAAAGAAAATTTTGTTGATTGCCTAACAAATTGTTAATTGTCTAATAAAAAATAATTTGTTAATTGTCTAATAAAAAAATGTTTCAAAGCACTTGTAGTATTAAGTGGACCGTAACTTTTATGATGTCTTTATGACGCCTTTAGACATGTATTATCTGGAACCGCTCCCAGTTCGAGGTAGTGTTACTGCGACACTTTTTAATTTCTTTGGATTCTTCTCGCATCTTAAACTCTCACGTACTTTTATCTTCTCAAATTTTTAACGACTGCGTGAACAGTCGTTCGTGCACTGCAGACGGAAAAATACGGAAACCTTTTTTAACACGCGTAACTACGTCGGCGGTAATTCGCACGCGAGGAACTCGGACGATTCGCGCGTAAAACGGCGCCATAGGGTAATCGTAAAGTTTATGATCCCATCATATATAAATCGCTGGAACTAGACGATTACGACATCGGGAGAAGTCGCTCATCGCGTTGCCAGAGTAACATTTGATGGCTGCGATTCGAGGTGTAAAAGTCAAAGCTAGTTGGCGAGTTTATAACGAGTGTCGTTCCTCGCGATATATAATGATGCAGTTATGCGATATATAGAATGAGGCCGTCAATGAGGCCGTCAATCCATTGGGGACGACATTTTTTCCTCAGAGTATACAGGGTCTTTAAAAACTCTGGGAACGCTAAGATATTTCAAAAACGATTAAGCGAAAAATAGATAAAAGCAAAGTTGTAGGACTTGAAAAAATCTACGTAACTAATGATAAGGGATTGACCTTGGAGTCTGCAAGGTCATATAAAGGTCAAGTTGAATTTTTTAAATGGAACCCTCTATTTTTCATTGCATATTCTTACAGCACACCTCGAGAGCTTTCCAAATTACTATAA